TTCTTCTACTAAACCTGTCGATGCGACAGATGCTTCACCTTCTTGTAATGTCTCTCCTTTAAGCATGTGCAAATTTGTAGCTATCTTTTACGCTTTCATCACCACAAGCGCGCCTTTAACTATTTTCATGATTCCATCTTATATATAGGTCTTGAATCCAATGCTGTCCAATTGACCTAGAGATAATAAATTTTTCTTTAGGCCTTTTACGTGTCATACCTCCTGGATAGTGTGAATTGTACCATCATATATTTTCAATTTGATGGTACCAATACCAACGATCTCCAAGGCATGATCATTTCCCATAAACACAGATCCTCCTGGGATAGTCTCATATTGATGAGACCATTCCCTTATTGGTGTCATGTGTCATGTAGCTCCTGAATCTATAAGTCAGACATCAAAAAATTTCTTTCTGCCTTCAACAACTATTGTTGCCTCGCTGTATAAAATTTCACCATCATCCGAGTTGCTTGCTACATAACCCTGAGATTTTGACGTCTCAGGACCTTTTCCTTTGGCTTCTTCATTCTTCTTGAGACTCCAACAATCCATTTTTAAGTGTCTTTTCTTGCCACAGTAATGACACTTGGCATTTTTCCTACTCCTAGATTTTGATTTACTCTGATTATGACTTCCACTGGAGCCACGTTCCATTGATCTCCCTCTCATCCTCGTTAAAGCTTCTGCCTGATGTGAACTTGTCAATCTGTCCTCTTTGTTCTTGCCCCTACTTTCCTCTTCAAGAACAGCAGTTGCAATATCATCGAAGACTAGAGTTTCAATGTTGTTAGTCAAGTTGATGATGAGTTGATCATATGAGTCTGGTAGACTTTGAAGTAAGATTTCAGCACGTTCACCCGCCTCTATATTATACTCCATTGATGTGAGTTGTGAAAATAGAGTATTGATGGTGCTGATTTGTTCTATCACCGTAGTTGACTCCATCATCCTAAGGATATAAAGCTTTCTCTTTAAGAAGATTTTTTTGTGTAACGATTTAGCCTCGTACAGCTTTGTCAGCATATCCCATATTTCTTTGGCCGTCTTTTTCTCCGCCACACTTGACAATACTATAGGACAATGACGTATGGGACCTCGTTCCATTTTCTGGTTTTATGTTATGGAACTTCAGATTTTATCATAGGCTATGTTGATTCAGATTATGCAGGTGATCTTGATAAAAGTAAGTCCACCACAGAATATGTGTTTACTCTTACTGGAGGAGCTGTAAGCTAGGTTTCGAAACTACAGTCTATCGTGGCTACTTCCACGACGGAGGCAGAATACGTGGCAGCTATACAAGCTAGCAAAGAGACAATCTGGTTGCAAATGTTAATGGACGAGCTCAAACACAAACAAGAGAAGATTGCACTATTTTGTGATAGTTTGAGCGCTTTACATTTGGCAAAGAATCCAACATTTCATCAAAGGACAAAGTATATTCGAGTTCAATATCACTTTTTTCGAAAAAAGGTGGAGGAAGGAAGTGTGGATATATAGAAAATCCATATAGCGGACAACCTAGCTGATATGTTGACAAAGCCAATCGGAACTGACAAGTTTATATGGTGTCGATCCTCCCTTGGCCTAGTAGAAACGTAAGTAGCATAAAAATGACAAGTATGGGAAGGATTGAAATGGTCAACAAAAGTGACTTTAAGTGAGAGAAATGTTGAAAGTAAAGCCACAAATGTTGACCAATAATGACATTCATGCAACTTTAGTTAACAACAAAGGAATGTACATGCATGCATGCAATAGGAGGTTGGCAAATTTATTTTTTCTTCTCCAGCCCTGACAGTCGAAATCCAGCTGATAACTAGCCATTATTCTTGACAAAAAGGCAACGGAATTCCTTGCAAATGACCAGCCAAGTTGTAGCCAAGTTTGTAGAAAGTTCTAGCCAATTTTTCTTGATATAAGGCGGTGGATTTCCAGCTAATAACCAGCCTAGTTCCAGCCAAGTTGCTGCCTCTTTTCTTGACTTTTTTGAAGCACTTAGGCAGTGGAAAACTTCTATAAATATGGGCAAAGCTGAAGAGGAAAAGCAGTCGTGAATGGAGAGGAAAATTGAGAGAAAATTTTCTTTGAGTAGAGAGAAAATTGGGAAGTGGAGAGATTAAAAAATAAGAGAGAAAAAAATTATTGTTATCTCCTTATATTTAGAGAGATTGTTGTAATTCTCCTACTATAGTGGATTCCTCCCATACTTGCCCGTGGACATAGCTTAAATTGGGTGAACCACGTAAATACTTGTATCCATTTTAGCTGCATTTTCTCAATTCCATTGTTTGTCAGCCAAAGTTGACCCACACGTTTTCTCCCCAACAAAAGTGAGGTGGACCAGACCCATAAATAGTTGAAAAGTGCCACTGTCAGATAAACTACTGGCTGTAGCTTAATAAACGGGCTACTAGTAGCTAGTGTTTCGAGACTTTTTTTTTACTCATAAATTTGACATACTTATTTGACAAATAATTGTGACATATAATTCGAGTCAATACAAAGTTCAATATTTTATGGATTTCAAGATGTTATAGCACTCTCTCATGATTTTAGTGAAATATATAATGAGCGTGTGGCATAAATTAAATGTTACGATTATTTGTCAAATAAGTTTGTCAAATTTATGAAGAGGAGAATCGGTCCGATTAGTGTTTTTCCTTATACGGATTTAATTAAAATCATTCCGTGGGTACAAAGATGGCTATAGTCCAACACTCAACAGTTATGATCATGTTGGAGCACACCCGAAATTATTCTCAATGCAAAGAAAAATAAGAACTCGATGGGTTGATTGTGGAAGAGAATACAAGTCTGTACAATTTCTCAGTCTTATCGATAGATGCATAGCTCTTTAGAGATCTTAAGCATTTACAATTAAATCAAGATGGATGGTTCCAGAAATGATATAATCTGGCCAAAAGTAACACTAAAAATGCAATTCATAGGCAAAGACAAACATATTGCATAAATCTGAATAATCGTTAAACAAAGGAATAAACATTAGGTTGCTGATCATCTGTGGGCACAAGAAGAAGAATGTCATTAACAATCAAATATGAGACACCGATGGCATCGCTAATTAGGGCGTTCGTTTACTCACACGGCCTGAGGGATGTTTAGAGAGTGGATAGAACCTGGGGTGAACCAACCAACCAAACAAAGATGTTAAGGTAGGCTGCCATTTAAATTTTTTTCTTTGTTTTTTTTGTGAACTTACGCTAATATGAAGTTACTTATTCATCAAGTTAATACTCATTGAGTCTAGATTAATATTCTAACATCCTCCCTTAATCTAGACTTGAATAACACCAAGTTTCTCCTTCAATTTGACAAAAGTTTCAACCTTCAATGCCTTTGTAAAAATGTCTTCAATTTGATGTTGTATCTTATAATGCTTGACCACTACTCCTCCTTCTTTGATCAAATTTCCAATGTAGTGATACTTAATCCTAATATGCTTGTTTCTTCCATGAAAAATTGGATTTTTGCTAACTTCAATTGTTGAATTATTATCACAATACATTATTGAATCATTTTCTTAAGGGTGCTTCAATTCTTTCAACATCCACCTCAACTATAGAGATTGACAACCAGCTACACACAAAGCAATATACTCTGCTTCTATAGAAGAGAGAGCAACAGCAGATTGTTTATTTGAAAACCAGGAAACTATATAGAACCAATATTGATTCTTAATCTCTCGTAACTAATCAAAATTGATTCTTAATCCCTCATAATGAATCCTATGATCAATAGTACCAACAACATATTGAATGATTCTTTTACCAACTTCCCAATGACCTCTCTTTGGCGAAGTCAAAATCTACTGAACATGCGAACAACAAACATCTGGCCTGTTGCTGTTAAATACGTTAGACTTTCCATTAAACTTTGATAAAGAGTAGCATCAACTTCTTCACTTCCATCATCTTTGCTTGCCTCCATATGAATATTACAAGGGATAACACTATTCATTCTAAATTTCTTTAACAAGTCTTTTGCATACTTTTGTTGAGAAATATTGTTCATTCACATGTTTGTTTTATTTCAATTCTAAGAAAGTAAAGAAGAAGTCCGAAGTCAGAGATTTCAAATTCTTCCATCATTGATTTTTAAAAATCCATCCCCATTTTTCTCATTATTGCCTGTAAATATAAGATCATCAACACACAAACAAATAATAAGAAGATCATTGCTTTTATCTTCTTTGGTGTAGAGTGCATACTCATATGGGTATCTCTTGAATCCATTCTTCAAAAAGAAATTGTCAATTCTACTGTACCAAGCTCTTCGAGTTTGTTTCAGTCCGTACAATGCTTTTTTTAAATGATACACCTTGTGTTCTTCTCCTTTCTTTTCACAACCCAATGGTTGTTTGACGTAGACCTCTTTTTCTAAGAATTCACCAAGAAAAGGCGATTTCACTTTCATTTGATGCACCTTCCAACCTTTTTGAGCTACTAATGACAAAAATAGACGAACTATTACCAAAGGAGTTACAGGATCAAAAATTTCTTCATAATCAACACCGAACTTCTACTTGTAACCTTCCACAATAAGTCTTGTCACTACAAGAAATTTAGACTCTCCCTACAAAATTTCTGTTGACGAATTAAGATCTGTAGGCGAAGTTCACTTTTCCCAACGAAAACGATTTTTGTAGGGCTATGATTTATTTCAAATTTTTCAATAGTAGGATGTCTTGTGCCTACAATTTTTTTTCTTTTCCAGATATAAACATTTATGGTTATATCTTTTGCAGACAAATAATTTTAGACATGTTTGTAGGCTAATAATTAGCGAGAAAATCTTCCTTATACTATTTATAATTTTAGTCCCTCCAAAACGTATTTTGAAGTGAAAGAGAAAAAAAAAATGAAAAGATAGAAGAAAAGTATAATTAATTTTTTTATCAAAATAAAAAATAACAAATCCTAAATCTAAAAACCCACCAGCCACCATATACCCACTCTAAAAACCCACGACTTATGCATGCGGCATTCCCTCTCTGTTTTGCCTCCAGAAATGTTCATCAAAAATAATTCCCTCTTTTTGGCTTAACTTCTTCATCGATTGCTACCAATTAAAACCTAATTAATTCAATTTCCCTACCTTCAAAATTTCTTGTGGATCCCATGATTGCAATCGCAATCTCTTCATCTGCCACGGTATTGATTTTAAATCAATAAATTCCTGCCTAATCTACTGCGTACAGATTGTGTTCTTCAAGCAGTCGTAAAGGTATGCCAATCAGCTTTGTTTAATCTTTGATTACTTTTCCAGACTTGTTTAATTAGATGGGCTGTTTCCATTGATTTTTCTGAAATTCGAAGAATTTGTTAAATATGTACCATTGAATTTATATGACAATTTTAATCTTTAATTAATTATTCAAATATATATTTTCTCAAAAGGGAGACAGTAGTTGAAGCTTTGTTGTTGGATTTGCAATATATCTTTAAGATAGTCTAAGGTTTGCTATATCTGCGATCTTTTGGTTGCATTGGAATATGCCAATTTGCTGAAGCGCATTGCAGCTTGTGTTACTTGGATTTCATTTGCACAGTTGTTTCTGATGAGTTCATAGAATCATTCATGTATAGATGTTTTACTCGATGTTTCCAATTTTAGTGGGGATGTGGTTGAGTCTCTTGCTGGGTTAACATAGCTGCTGTTTGTTTGGAAAAGACTGTATTAACGTGTATCACTATTAATTCCCACCAAGAAAGTTAGTCGGTGACTATTTATCCTTACGGATGATAATGTATAATTTACTTAAAATGAGGTTTGGAATTTAGATGATGATGGGTACTATGAGACCGTTGGATAATTGTGAAGTTTTTTTAATTCTTATCGTTGTCCCTGGATTTTGGCACCATATAGTGTTCATTTTTTATTCTGTGGAAAACTTATTTGATTCAGATTCGTGTCATTTATTTGAGTATGCCTTTTTTCTGTAGTTTTGGGGAAAAAAGTTCTTAGTTTAAAGATGTTAAGCAATCACGACATGCTTCTCCCTTTTACAATGTATGAAGGTCTTACTAAAATTGACTTATTTTTTCAAATTAACTTGTCAAAGTCTTCAAGGATGTTATATTATGATTTGTTGATTGGACTTGTACAAATATGCCATTGCAATATACATCTCTCGTAGCGCGACCATAACGATCTTCATCAAAAACCTGAATTCTCACACACTTGTTTTCAACAATTTTAGTTAGTTCTTCCTTTGCCTTTTGCCCATATGGCATTTTGCTCTCTGGTGCATCGATTCATCTATTACATTTCAAATGTCGGTAGCCTTGCATTATACTAATTGCTTAGTATAGTTTTAATCATTTTCTTTTGTTTCCCCATTTTGAACCGAATGTAGTAACTGGGATTGTGAAGTTTTCATGGTAATTTTAGTTTACTTCTTTCTTGACATTTTTAGAACCTGAAAATGATGGTAGAACTTCTTAAATATTTGTTTTGGTCTATTTCTATGATGAATTGGTCACTGCAAAATATGAGGCCAAGATCATATACTTGCCATCATCTTGTTTAGTGAAGTGGTTTATGTTTCTAGTTTCTATTTCATTATAAACATTAATTAGATGTGCTGGATTTAGTTTGAGCTTTCATCAATTTATGATAAACATTAATTAGATGTGCTGGGTTTAGTTTGATTACATGACATTAATGGTCTAGTTAACAAAATAATATGAGGCTGATGAAGTTATTGGTAGAAAATGATAAAATTTTATGAAGTTCATTTACATGTTCGGCTTTATTATTGGTTTCGCAGGTATAGATGTAGGACACTTGCCAAGGACTCTCGATATCACCCTACTCGAGGAGAATGTAAACAAATTAAAGACATCTTGTATCATTCGTACAATTCGAGAGAAAATTTGAGTTTTATACAATTCAGTAAGTAGACGAGCAACAAGTTCTGAAGTACGTAGTTTGTTGGTTCATGATATTGGAGTCATCATTTGGTCACATTGCCCAATGAATACGGGTTATTGGCCGACCATTTTTCCAAGTGAGAATAAGGACCTTATGGATGAGATCACGATAAGCATACATAAATGTGTTTATACTGTTGAAAAATTAATAGTCAAATAAAACTACATGAATCGATTAAAAGCACATTACTCATTTCATTTTGTGATTTTATTTATTCATACTTTGTCTATTGTTTTCTAGATTTGGATAGTTTGTTGTAATTATGGTTTCTTTTTATTTTATAATTTTTTAATTATGTCAATTCCAGATGAACTTCGAGTAGATTTGAAAGACTCGAGATTGGAAAATTATACTAATAGACTATACAATGGAAGGTATAGAGAATTTAAAGCTGTGTTGAGTGCATACTATAAGTTGCAGAAGACACATGAGAATACATTAGCCAACCTCCCTCTGGAGATGCTCGATAGAGGTGCAAATCAATGGGTGGACCTGTGTAATCATTTGAACTCCAATAAGTTCAAGGTATTTATTGTGTAATTATTTACCAGTTCACAGCCAACCTCCCTTTGGAGATGCTCGATAGAGGTGCAAATCAATGGGTGGACCTGTGTAATCATTTGAACTCCAATAAGTTCAAGGTATTTATTGTGTAATTATTTACCAGTTCACAGCTTTTACTTCTAATTTTGTTAAGTAATATCTATATATTTTTCTTTGCAGAAAGCATCATCAGCAAACATAGTGAATCGATCGAAGAAGAAATACAACCATCTATTGGTTCACGTCCTTTCTCATACATAGTGGAGAAGATGACTGAGGTAGTGAATTTATTTGGTTATCAACATGACGTAATTAAATAATTTTGCTAAGAGTTTGAATATAATAATTTAAACATGCATTTTTTCTTATTAGGATGGTTCAAAGTTTCCCGAAGTCAACACATTTGAGTTCGCTTATGTTGGGAAGAACAATTGTTGGACTTGTAATGCAGTTAAAGCTCAACATATAAGAAATACTCAACATTATAAAATTGTTTTCTTAGCTTGAGAGATGATTATATTTCTTAGCTTGTGCTATATCTCTTGTGTGCAGTTGTGTTATCTATTGCAAACTTTGATTTTATGGACTGTTTTATATATCTTGGTGGTTGTGTTTGTAGGATGAGACGCTTTTCAAAGAGTATGAATATCTTATAGAGAGGGCAAAGGAACAACAACTTCCCAAAGATAACCCTTTGGAAGAGATACCGATAGATGATCCTGATGTCAAAATTAATATCATGATGTCCGTTCTAGGTACAAAGCCCTGCCGTCGAATTCTTGGGTTAGGAGATGGTTGCCTTCGAGACATTGCAATACTTTCTTCCAATGTACACACTTTGGGGAAGGAGTTGGAAGCAGAATGTGCTGCTCGAAAGGTAGCCAATGCAGCTCGAGTAAACATGGAGCAAAACAAGCTAAAGGTTTTTGAGCAACAATTCAATTCTACATTACAATCTTGGTATCATTCTATGCACCAACTATGTGGTAAAGTTCCTGGCTTTATTGTACCACCATTTATACCGTTGTCAATAGAGAATACTGGTAATGGGAAAGATGATGCTATTGAAGATGAAGAGAATGACTTCGGTGAGAATCAGTGCATGTCTAATTTACGAGACTGAAGAGTCATTTTTTATTTGCATAACAATAGATATATAGCATGTCTCTGCTTATTTTAACTTTAGATGTAATCATACTTGGTGAAAATCATTTATTCATGTTTTGATGAAATATTTTGAATTCAATGTTGATTGACATTACGTTTTAATTGATTTATTATTATTTTTGTATCTTTATATTTTTTTGAATGAGGTTAAAAAATTATTATAATATAAATAAAAATATAGAAATAATTTAATTTCTCCCTACAAATTCTTTTTTAATAGCCTACAAATATCATTTCTCCACTAAAAATTATTTGCAGAAAAACAAGATTCAACCCACTAAATAATTTGTTCCACGTTGTCACAAACTTTTAATTGTAGGGAAAGATGTTTATACTTAGCCCACAAATATATTTTCTACACAAAATATTATTTGTGTGGACGAACACAATTTAACCCACAAGATAATTTGTAGGGACAAGCGAAATCATTTCGTGTTTAGAAGTAACTTTAGCAGAAGAATTACTCTGTCGGAGGAAAACTTACATGACGAATTGTATTCGTCTCTAAAGGATTCTTATGGAAAAACCTTGGCACACAAATTTCAAAAATTTGTAGTCTTATACCTATCCCCTCGATATTTGCCCCCACAAACGTGCCTACAATCTCTTTTCGTCTGCAAAGGTATTTTCCCACAAATAAGAGCATTTCCCCACAAATAAATTTTGTAGGGAAGACATAAAATTCTTGTAGTGTGTTTTGTTTTTGTCTACTTGACCAGTTGAATACAGCTTTATTTTGTAGACCCATCTTACATCGAGCACCGTCTTGTCTTTTGGAAGATCTGTCAACTTCCATGTCTTATTTCTTTCAATTTGCATCTACTTCTTGATTCATGGAAATCTTCCAATTTTTCTTCTTTCGATGTTGCTTCAAAACTTGTTAGGTATGTATCTACAAGTAATGCAAAATTCATTTCATCACTAGTAACCATGCCATAGTCATTTGACGTATACCTTTTAGATGGTTGATACAGTCAGGTCGATCTCCTTAATGATGGCAAAGTTGACTCCTCATCACTTGATGATGAACTAGAACTTGAGGATAATGGTTCAGTACCTTCTTGTTTAACTACTTATGCAACTTCATTATATTCATAGAAATTGATTTTTGATTTTAATTAGCAACATTCCACCTCCATGATTCTTCCTCATTAAAATGCACATCTCTACTTATGATTATTTTCTTTGAAATGGGATTGTGCAAACTATATGCTTTTGAGTTTTTACTATATCCCACTAGTAAACATTTTTATGATTTATCATATAGCTTACGTCTCTTATCACCTAGAATTTTACTTATAAAAATAAATAAGTAATACATGAAAACATACATAGAAACAAAAATTTAATTACTTTTAAGCTTAGTCAAACTTATAAAATATGTTTTTTTAACTATAATCGATAAAAATATTTTGTTATGTAATTTACTTATTTAATTACAATGAAAATTACTTGGAAGCCTACTTTTAAAGATTACATTTCAAAAGTCAAAATTATAGTTTACATATATAAAAATCAAATGATCATATAATTTTAATATTAAATAATAGTATTATAAAATTTAATTAATTATATATCCCCACCCCAAACCCTAACATTCATTTCCTTCATTGTTAAATATCCCAATCCCAAACCCTAATATTCATTTTCTTCATCATTTCAATCAATTCTCTCCCTTTCTCTGCTATACCTCTCCTTCTCTCTACCTCACCGAGCACCACCGTCGACAGTCGTCATCACAGATCAAGCGGTGCATTGCTGCTGCGACAATATCTCTACAGTGATCTACGATTCGAGTTCGGTTGTTGGTCTGTGTTGGACTCGATGGTTTTTGTTGGTGGCTATGGTGGCAGATCTAGTGGTGGTCATGGATTTGGCGGTGGAGGTGGATTTTGTTGAATCGATGGTGGTGTTGTTGGATCTGGTGGTGGTGGTGATGGTGATTTTGTTGATATAAATGGTGGTGTACAATGGTTTTTCTTGATGTAGGCAGTGATGGTGATGATTTTTGTTGGTGATGATGGTGGCAGATCTAGTGGTGGTAGTAGATCTGGCGGTGGAGGTGGGTTTTGTTGGACCGATGATGGATTTAACTGTGGTAGTATTGGATCTGGTGGTGGTAGTGGTGATGATTTTGTTAATACAGGCGATGGTGCGCGATGATATTTTTATCTAGGCAATGGTAGCGACTGCTTTTGTTGACGGATGCGGTGGTGGTGCCTCGACAGCTGATTTGAAATTTTTTTGATAGGAGTTGAAGTGGAGGGTTTCTTCAAACAACAAGGGGCTGGGTCAACTATTCAATCAAATGATATTGAGCATGTTTCCCATCTCTTCTCGAGAAACAAGTGGGAGTGGTGGTGGTGATGGTAGATGATAAAGCAGGATGGAGTGGGATGGGTGGGGTCGGGATAGGGTTGTGGATGGGAGAATATTTGTGACCAATCATTTGATTTATTTTAATCAATAAATAATTTTTGACCAATTTTTGATTAATTGTGGCCAATAAATTGGTTAATTTGTGATCAACAAATAATATGTAACCTATAAAATTTGATTGTGACTCACAATTTATCAAGTTGTGGCCGAGAGATTACTTGTGACAAATTCATTTGATAATATTTGACTGTTAAATAAGTTGTAACTTATAAAATTTGTGATTTTGTGATCGATAAATAAATTGTGACATATAAAGTTTTTGACCTGTGGTCGAATATAATTTGTGGCCTATAAATTTTTTGATTTGTGACCCTAAATAATTTTTGATAAGTGACTCAGAAATAATTTATGACCAATTAATTCAATAATTGTGTCCAAATTGTACAGCATTGTGATGTAAATTTATTTAATTAATAAAATATATTTTTAATTAATTATTTCATAAAACAAAATGTAATTAATATCTGATTTTTTAAATTTTTAAGCCTTGCTTCTTAGTTTTGAAATAAGTAATACTCAATCTCTTACGAAACTTTCCCTTAATTATAAGTGAACTGTTTAAACTTAGTCAAACATACTAACGTTGAGCAATTAGATAGACTTGAAATAGGAATGAGTTTATAGGGCTAAAATGATTAAATTGTGCATAAATTTAGCATAAATTCAATTTTCTGCAGCCACCTTCAGTTATGGGCTGTGGCCTACCTTTCCATATACTCGCCTCTACACAGACCAATATTTTCAAGGGAGAGTAGCTTATTCCACCATAGGTACCTTATAGTAGCAATTTTGTAAGAAGTATTTTATGAGTCTCAAATGAACTCATGAAAATAAAATTTATACTAGAAATTCAAGAGAAGAAAATTGTTCTCTCAAAACTCAACTTTTGTGGTTTCTTATTTTTAAATTGCTACAAATGAGTAGCTCTTTTCTACCACATTTGGTACATAAAAATTAATTTCTCATACGTGAACTTAAACGACCCATTTAAAATTCCTTAATGCATGAATAGAATTAGATTCATTCACGATAACTCTAGATGTATGTGGATTAAGATTAATCAAATTAATATTCATTGAGTTTAGATTAATATTCTAACATCCTCCCTTAATCTAGAATCTAATACACCAAGTTTGTCCTTCAATTTGACAAAAGTTTCAACCTTCAATGCTTTATATAAATGTCTGCAATTTGATGTTGTATCTTATAACGCTTGACCACTATTCCTCCTTTGATCAAATTTCCAATATAGTGATACATAATCCTAATATGCTTGCTTCTTTCATGCAAAACTAGATCTTTCGCTAAGTGCAATTATTGAATTCTTATCACACACATTATTGACTCCTCCTCTTAAGGGCACTTCAATTCTTTCAACATCTACCTCAACTATAGAGATTGACAACCAGTAGCACACAAAGTAATATACTCTGCTTCTATGGAAGAGAGAACAACAGCAGATTGTTTATTTGAAGACCAAGAAACTATACCAGAACCAATATTGAAAACATACCATGATGTACTTTTGTGATTATCTTTATCTCCTCTCTAGTTGCTGTCATTGTAACTAATTAAAATTCATTCTTAATCTCTCGTAATGAATCCTATGATCAATAGTACCAACAACATAACGAATGATTATTTTACGGAAAAAGATACTTGTACAACATTTGAGGGCTATAAAAATTTAAGCTCTCTCACATGTGTGGGACCCGTAATTATTCTAATCATGGCCCCATCCTCTATATGTGAGAGGACTGCTCTTGGAGTTTGTTTCAATTCGTACAATGTTTTTTTTTAAACGATAAACCTTGTGTTGGTTGTTTGACGTAGACCTCTTCTTCTAGGAAGCCATTAAGAAAAGCCAATTTCACATCCATTTGATGCACCTTCCAACCTATTTGAGCTACTAATAAAAAAAATAGATGAACTATTTCCAAACAAGTTATAGGAGGAAAAATTTATTTAAGTTCAACATCGAACTTCTGCTTGTAACCTTTCACAAGATGTCTTGTTTTGTTTTTGTCTACTTTACCATTTGAATATAGCTTTATTTTGTAGACCCCATCTTACATCCAGCACTATCTTGTCTTTTGGAAGATTTGTCAACGTCCATGTCTTATTTCTTTCAATTGAATCTACTTATTGATTCATGGCAATTCTCCATTTTTCTTCTTTCGATGCTTCTTCCACTTCCTTTATTTGTTAGATCCATTTACAGTCAATTGGTTTCTTATCCTTAGGTTTGTTAACTAATACCCATGTATTATTTTTAAGAAGTGAAATCATTTCATCTTCCATAGCCGCTAACTTTTACCCTTAATAGCATCATCATAAGATTTAGGTTTATTTTCAGTTTTATCTTGATAAATGGGTAACAAAACAAAAGCATCATCACCAAACTTGACATGAGGTCTAATCTACCTTCTCTTCATATCTCTTGTGAGTTGATACTCGACAAGGGGCAAAGTTGTAGGATCAGGGTGGTCTACAGGATCATAATCCTAATTAACTTCAGCACCCTCTGAAGGGTCATCATCAGTTTAACCAATATCTTCATTGCCAGCCCTTGTTTCATTTTCTTCCAAATAAGGTGACTCCACCTCAATTTGAATCTTTTTCAGTTAAACTATCAATATTTTCTTTAAGACATTGCATAATAG